TTGTTTCAAACTATCCTATTCTGTTAGTAATTGGCAATAGATTAAATTAATCTTCCCCAAGTCGAGTCTGTTTTGCCCATGATGGTAAACAGTAAGTGATTTTCCTGTCCTCATCTCAACCCATGAGCTTTTCCATTGTATTTTCTCCCCACTGTCCTGCTGAGGAGGAGGAATGAGCGAGTGTCTCGGTGGGCACCTCATGGCCAGCCAAGGTCAGCCCACCACGGAGGAAAAGAGCAGGAAGTTCATGATGTCAGCTGCAATTCCCAGGGTTTTATAAAAATGAGGGCAGTTCTCATTCCAGTTACAAGGCAACCAGCAGGGATGCTGAGATGTTCTGTGTAAATTGGTATCTGTGGTCTCTGTGACTGTGTTAGATCTTACAGAAGTGGTTCGCCTGAATATTTTGTCTCTTCCCCCACGTTTTTTGAAGAGCACAACTGTACTTACCTCAGAATTACCAGCAGGAAATAAGACATTGTTCAGCTACTAGGCTCTGATGTTTTGTCATTTCCTATTGCACAGCAAACATTTGAGAACAGTCTTTACTGTATCTATTCCATTAAATTTTGGATTCGTCTTGAACCAATTCATCTAGCCGCAATAATGCACCTCGTTGGAAACAGCTTTAAGCAATAGGAGTGCTCCAGTGCTTGAGGGACATTCTTCACGGAATCACAGAATCACAGAATAGTAGGGGTTGGAAGGGACCTCTGTGGGTCATCTAGTCCAACCCCCCTGCCGAAGCAGGGTCACCTACAGCAGGCCGCACAGGACCCCGTCCAGGCATATCTCCAGAGAAGGAGACTCCACAACCTCCCTGGGCAGCCCGTTCCAGTGCTCCGTCACCCTCAGAGGGAAGAAGTTCTTCCTCATGTTCAGACGGAACTTCCTGTGCCTCAGTTTGTGCCCATTGCCCCTTGTCCTGTCACTGGGCACCACTGAAAAGAGCTTGTCCCCATCCTCCTGACACCCACCCTTCAGATATTTGTAGGCATTTATAAGGTCCCCTCGCAGCCTTCTCTTCTTCAGGCTGAACAAGCCCAGTTCCCTCAACCTCTCCTCATAGGGGAGATGCTCCAGTCCCCTCACCATCCTCGTAGCCCTCCGCTGGACTCTCTCAAGTAGCTCTTCATCTTTCTTGAACTTCTTCTGACACTGCATGCTGGGAAGTGGGTTAAGCTGAAAGCAGTGTTGCTAGCATGCAGAGAAAAAAGAAAATGGGTCAGTAATTTGTTTCTTCTTTTACAGATACCAGTAAGTTAACTTCAAGAAAGTAAGTTTAAGAAAGAGTCTGCCAAGTTTTGTATGAAAATCTTGTACTTTTTAAGGTCTACTGTATCTGGATTGAAGACAGCCCATCTGTGTTAAGTTAGATTGCTTTTTTGGCGGGGCAGGAGGAACAAAGCATACACTCAGCTAGCGCTCAGTTGGGGCATTGCAAGGCAAAAATACTTGCAGCACCTGGGAAGGAGGAAGATGCCACTCTGCAGATCTTTGTTGTAAAGCTCTTTCAACATCCCAAGCTTAGCCTCTCATTTTTATAATGCATATAATTTTTTTGCACCTTTGAGCTTTGATGGACTCTCTTTTGAGTTTTTTTTTTTGTGTGTGTGTTAAAGATGGTACCTGCAATATATATTTGTCTTTTGTGTAAAGTACGTGAGCACTTAATGGTATCTTTATTTATGTCTGGTCACAGGCAAGAAGGCTGTTCATCATTTTGTCACATTGCATACTTCTATTGTAATAAACTGTTTACATGACACAGTTGTAGAAAAAACTACGAGTGATGTATTGTGAAGGGATAAGAGATTTTTGCTAAGCCCCTAAGCAGTTCCTTGCAGGCTTCGTTTCTACATTCTACATGTAGACTGGCTCTGGACTGGTTGTATACCAAAACGCTCAACAGGCTTGATTTAAAAAATATGTATAAATTGAAGTCAGTATAAAGTTCATGTTGAGTTCAGGAAGATTTGTATCAAGCCCTCAGGTCTTTGGAAGTCTATACGGTCCTTCTTTGTCAGTTAGTTTCTGTTCTTGCCATTTTACTGGCTTCTTTCTGTAGAGAATGAAATACTCATGTCCTTTCTTTGGTGAGCCTTGTCATGTATCAGAATTTAGCTTCATCTGTGGTAGGAAAAAACAATAATGTTCCTCTCCTTCATCTGTTTCCTAGTCAGGCCTTAGTCTGGCATTAAATTTTATTTAAGTATGAGCTTGCAATTTGGAAGGGCTTTCATTCTTTTTTTTTTTCTGTTTGACAGAAAAGCTGTCAAAGAGTACAGAAGGCAAGCTGAACATAAATGTCTTTATCTAGATGGAAAGGGGCTGGAGTCCCTCTTCTGCAGGAGTGCCGGTCGGGTTTGTGTTGCCAGAGGTCTGGGGAGGTGGGTGGCAGTCCTCTTTCTTTGTACAGTATTTGAGAATGGACAGATAGCTCCTGGGCCATACAAACACCTGCTCAACCTTCTTTTGCCATACCCGTGGTAAAATTTACCTGCTCTAGTTCGCTCCTTTTGTCATCTCTGTTTACTGCCTTTTGTTCGCGTTTGTGTTGTTCTTTCTGCTTCTCTGCTTTCCCTTTCCCCTCTCACCCATTTCCTCTTCAGTTTTTCCTTCCCTGCCAAGTAACTCCTCGTATTCATTTTGCATGCTGCCTAGAATACTTTCTCCTGAGTCTTTTTTAATTCCCTTTTGATTAGCATTTTATTTTGTGTAGAGATTGCATATACAGACAAGAACACTTAGAATTTAGACAACTGTTGGATAGCTTCCTAGCACAATCCAAAACTTGCATTCAGGGATTTATGCAAGCTATCAAAAATTGTCTTTAGGATAATGCACGGAGTTCCTGTGCTCCAAGGCACTTTGCTCACATAAACTGGGTTCTTGAATCAAATGTTGTTCAGGTGAAGTGGTAATAACATTGTGAAGGATGTGTCTACTCTGGTCTGGATGTGTTTGCCACATTAAGAGTGAAAAATCTGACAATAAATGGAAAATTCAATGAGGAGTATCAGTAAGAATAGGATCCTATTTCAGAAGGTTATTGAACTGAAATGGAAAATTTTCTCAGTGAAGTCAGGCATAGTTCCAGGTCTGCTACCTGCCAGGAGAGAATAGAATGTAGTTAAAAAATACTGCTATTGTTAGACAAACACTGCAGCACAGCACCAGTATTTCATCTTACAGAAAGGCTGATGTGTACATTAGCACCAGGAGTAGGTGCTATTTCATGTAATCTTAGTAGTCTTGTGTTAAGAGGAGTGTTTAGAAAATATAGGAGTTCTCCCCAAGGTGTTAACATGATTTTGGTGCTGTGAACACTTATAAAACCTTCAGTGGGGTGAAAATGCCCATGAAATCGCGCTCTTCCCCAGCAGACAGGTAAGATTTATTTTAACTAAAACTCCGAAGGGTGCAGTCCTTTTAATTCCTGTTTCTACATGCCACATGCTGAAATTCCTGGGTCTGCCAGTTATTTCCTAGCTGTGTACAGTCATACCAGCAAAAATAGCCTACAGAATATTTTAAGCATCTGCTCTGGAGAATCGAGGGGCTTCAGTAAGAAGACACTGAAATGATTTAGAATGCAAGTAGTCATTGTGATATCCTTGATCAAGATGGCTGTTGGCAGAAGACATCATCTTTCTCTTCATTTCTTGGGAGTCTAACTACTTATGGATACATTTCTTTTGTTTTTTTGGAAAGAAAAGGAGCATATATATCCTCTTTGGTCTGCACGTACAAATGACAAACTTCCTCTTTCTTTGTCTGGTTCCTCCCATCCCAGCCCATTTCATGCACGTCCGTGACAGACACAGCGTTTCGTAGTTCTTCATGGGCTGTAGCGGTTTTACAGCCTGCGTTCTGGGGAGCAGCCCTGCGCCCTCAGCCCCCTGTGTCTGCCCCAGGAAATCCTGCGAAGCGCTTTGGCATTTCCTACGGGTGATGTTAAGCCTTGCCTAATCTGCAAGTAATGTGCAGCAGGAACTGGTGTACTACACTGCCAAGCCCTGCATGGACCCAGGCACGGCAGTCAGCAGCACGCCCGTGCGACAGCAGAGCCCTGCCACGATCCAGGCTGGATTGGTACAGTTGTAGGCACAGGGTTAAGGGAAGTGATTGTTCTCCCACTTTTCAGAAACTGTGAGATCACATCTGGAGTGCTGTGTCAGGTGTAAGAGAGGAAAAAGTATATGTCAGAAATTTTTTTTTTTGTTCAGCCCCTGCTTAAAAACTCAGTGCCTTAAATCCAGATCTTGTGCTGAATGAAGTCTGAAGTGCCCAGTGGATCTGTCTGAAGAAGTTGGCTTTGGTCTGTAGCTTTGCTTTCTTTTCCCTGGTCCCCTCATCAGGAGGATCCCTTTGCTAGTCCTACGTGTCCAGTTTGTTGATTTGACTTTTGTGAGCCCTTAAATAGGTCACTGGAAGGGTGGTGAAAATGTTCAAGTAAAGGAGAATGTCTTGTAACATACCTCTCCATGTTTCATTGAGGAAGTATTGAAGCATGTAGCGAGACTTCTCAGCTAAGACCTTGACTGGCCTTCATCCTGGTCTTAAGTGATCTCAAAACTCAGTGCTGCTGGAGCATGTGAATCTAAACTACGATGGCACACCAGAGACACGTATTGCAAGAGAGTCTCTCTGATACATAAAATAGCAGGATTTATTTTCATACATATATATATCTAGCAATGCCAAAAATTAACTGGAAACAAGATTTTATGTATGGGAAGAATTAGAAAACACTATGTAATCTGTTGCGGTACTCAAACTGGGTTACTGGTTTCTCATTATTGAGGGAGAGGAACGGCAAAATGCTAGTTTAATTATCTGAACATTAAAAACATAGCTAAAAAGATCTTCTGTGCACTAAATCAACATTTGCAAATTTCATATTACATTAGCACTATGCAAAATTACTTTCTACCCTGCCCCAGGCAACTTCTTAAAGTCAGGACCTCATTAACTAAAAAATACTTTCTCTTTTACAGTATATTCACTCCTCGGGCATAATTCACAGGGTAAGTGGAAACCATATAAAAGACGTTTATATTCTGATAATGTGAGTGGTGTTTGTGTATAAGTATGCCTGAAATTCTGTTTATAGTGTCTCAGCTCGATGATGCCTTTGGTTTCTTCTTCAACAGGCATAAAAGGTGATATGGCTACATCAGTGTAAGCTGGGCACTCAAGTTGCCCTGAGTACAGCTTAGATTTGGATTTCTTAAATTTGTGAAGTTGAGTTGTAAGTCTTAATGAAGATTAAACTTCTAAAAACATTGTTTAAATGTTGTTTAAATATCATGTTAATGTTCAAAGTTGGGGGGTGGTGAAAACATAGAAACTGAAAAAATAGTCCAAAATTTTAGAGCTTTGAAAACCTTGATATTTTCTGAGAGAAATTAAGCATCTGATTCTTTTTTAATCCCTGTCGTGTCTAAAGTCCACTTAAAATCACTTTTGCACTGTGAAAGAGGAGTTCTGAATGAGGCCCTTGTGATACCAAGCAGCATAACTTCCCCCCAAACTGTTCCATCAGAACAGCAGAAGCTGCCTGTCTGTAATAAAATAGCAGGAGCACCACAGAAAGTGCACAACATCTAGTAGCTTTAAGCTGGATACGGAAACTACACAAACTGCCAAAATAATGTAATAAATTGATATTTTTATTTCTACAACTGCTGTGATCATGGTCTAAATTTACGGTTGCTTAGACTTTTTCTGAGCTCCCTCTTGATACCTCTTGAGCTTCTTGGTTTCATTACAGCCCTTTGCACCAATTTGTTTCTCTCCAAGGCTCCTCTGATCTTAAAACGTCTTCGTATAAAACAAGTGGATGCCTGTTAAACTGTTCAGAGAAAAGAGTCTCCTAAACGTCTTCTGCTAAATTTTGTCAAACAAAGGTTTGAAAAAGCTGAAGGAAATGTATTTCTGATTTTTTTCTTTCTCTTTATAACTGTGAATGTCTAAGAATCATTGACACTGCAAAATCTTAGTTGTTGCCAGTACTCTTCCCTTTGCAGGTAAAGTTAGAAGTGCAACTTTTGAAGATCGTTAGAAGTCTCTACAATAGCTAAAGAGGCTTAAGGGAATTTTTTTTTTCATGTTTTGTTTTCATGTTCAATTGACTTAATTAGGAAATTGATTTTCCCACAGAAGAGAGCATGGACTTTTATGTGAAATCTGGTTTGATTCCTTCAGTACTCCTCCTAGGTCGATCAGGGTGTGGAACCATTTTGAAGTATATTTAGAGATGCACTGTGTACAGTCCAGAAATAGTGAAGGAAATTTATTTTACTCCATCTCATGTGAATCCTTAACTTTGTGGTGTTAGTATTAAATGCAACAAACTTATGTCCAAACCCCAGTCACAGTAAGATGAGTGAATTCCTTTGCTGGCAAGTTATTTTTGTGACTTCTAGCAGAAAAAAAGTTGATTTGTCGGGGAGGAAAACATACTGGAAAAAAGCCAAACGTATTCAAGTTTGTGTCTTTCTTTCTGTTATTATATTTAATTTTGTGATTTAGATTTATGACATCGTTTTGCCTGTTGCTGTTCGAAATAGTTGTATGAAAACCATTAAACCTAAATGAAAGAAAGAAAGTATGCTTTATTGTGCTAGCTGTAAAATAAATAAATAACATCCATTTCAAATCTGATTACAGGATCTAAAGCCTGGGAACTTGGCAGTAAACGAAGACTGTGAATTGAAGGTAGGATATGTTGGTTCGAAAAAACAGTCAGATGTATTAGAAACACACCACAGAAGAGAATGAGTGCAACAGCTGTAGACATGCTGGCTGGTTTCAGTGGTGGGCCAGGCTGTCAGCCCACGGGCTTTGAGGAGTCACAGGGAAACGGGGGAATGCTGGAAAAGGAAAGGGAAGAGCATCAGATGGACAGTGGTAACGATCTTGAAAAAGATTACAAGAGGCTGCTCCTGATGACTATCTTCCCATTTGTCTGACTTCAGTCACCGTAAGAATAGTGAAGTATCTATTTTAAGAAATAAAGCCCTGAATAGTGAGAATATATTCACCTCCTGTTTGTATGTCCTTGACTGACATAAATGCGCATTTCATATGAATGGCAGAAGCGATGATCAATTTCTGAGACCGTTCTGGAGCCAAGCACCCGAAAGGGCTGCTCCTCAAGCTGGAGACGTTGCCCAGGATGTCCCAGCTGAAAACATCCAGTCCAGATAGGATGCTGCGGGAGGCTGGTACCCAGTGCTGACAGGGCAGAGATGAGGGTTGACTCCGAGATGTCAGGGAGGATTTCTGGTGAGGAAGTCTGTGCCGCAGGTTGTTGGATGCATGGCATCGCTGCAGCGGTTGCTGACTTGGGTCCCTCCAGCTGGGTGAAGGGCAGGGTGAACCTGCTTCTGCGGGTTTGCCGCTGACGGAGTGGCCCATGCCACAGCTGTGTGCCCACAGCAAGCGTGTGTGTGTGGCAGCAGTCGTCACCTTTTTCCTATGTGATGTCTATGTCACAATGAATACTGGTATATTTTTATGCCATCGCTCAACTAAAAATACTTTCCAAGAAAAAATCGTGTCGTGGTTACAGTTGGATGAGAGCTGTGATGGAGAACGGATTTTATGATATGTTGCAGCTGGTCACTTCAGAGGGGCATGAGAGGAATCACATACTGCTCACCACCACCAAGAACATTTTATTTCTGTGAAAGTGATTCCTTCTGCACTGTTACAACTAACAGTAGTATCAATTGCATGTTGACTACAGTGTATTTCATAGCAGGAATATATCAGTTCTGCTCCATTTTTGCTCTTAATTGAAGTAGTATGAAAAAAAAAAATCATTAAAGGGAGACAATTCCTACCTCGGTCTCCTATAGTTCAGTTACTAGCTGTTTCTGCCGCTGCACTGCAAGACAGGTATTACTTGATTGCCGCTTCTCTGGAGCGGGGCAAGGATTGGCATGTACCGTGACTCCCTTCGTCCTGCCCATCGAGGCTTCCCTCCAAAGATGGGTGGGAGGATGGTGCACACCCGCCCCCCTTCCCAGTATGGAAGCTGGGCTTAGCTGGCATGCACCCTTGGAGACCAGGGCTATGGCTGCCGTTGTGCAAGGTTATCTGTCCTGAAGTGTAGGTGTTGCCACTTCCTTGGAAATGTTCTCAGCAGAGTCCATCTAAGTAGTAATTCTTCTCCTGTACAACGTTTGTCACCTCAAGCCTCCTTCTAAATCACTGAACTGAAATACTGAATCTGACCAGGTCTGATTGCAGTTTCTTACATGTATTGGAAAGAATGGATAATATTTGTACTTCAGAAATAATTATGCAGTGTACCCTGGCCTAGCAAAATGCATCTTTTTGGCTGTGTAGAATGACTTTGTTATTAAAAAACCAATTATTTATTATTCGATCCCCAAGTGTAAGAAGTCAGGCAGAGAAGGGAAGAGACCGGCATGGCTGAGACAAGAGATGCTGGTCAAACTAAGGAAGAAGAGGGAACTGCACAGGCAGTGGAAGCAGGGACTGGCTTCCTGGGAAGAGTATAGGGAAGCTGCCTGGTTGTGTAGGGATGGGGTCAGGAAGGCCAAGGCACAGCTGGAGCTGAACTTGGCAAGGGATGCGAAAAATAACAAGAAGGGCTTCTACAGGTATGTCAGCTGGAAAAAGATGGTCAAAGAAAGCGTACCTCCGATCATGAGCGAGACCGGCAAACTGGCAACAGCAGATGAGCAGAAAGCTGAGGTACTCAACAATTTTTTTGCCTCAGTCTTCACTGGCAACCTCTCTCCTCACCCCTCCCGAGTCAATGGATGGCACGAGGGAGACCAGGAGGGTAAAATCCCTCCAGCTGTAAGTGCAGACCAGGTTCGGGACCTCCTGAGGAATCTAAACGTACAGAAGGCCATGGGACCTGATGAGATGCATCCCAAAGTCCTGAGGGAACTGGCTGATGTAGTTGCGGGTGTGGTTAAGTCAAAAAGCCACTCGCCATGATATTTGAAAAGTCATGGCAGTCAGGGGAAGACCCCAGTGACTGGAAAAAGGGAAACATTGTGCCCCTTTTCAAAAAGGGTAGAAAGGAGGACCCTGGGAACTACC